CATTTAATTTGTGGTAATTAATATTTGCTTCTTTGATTCTTTGGATTTGTCAAGTATTATGATCCTCATTTGCGTTCTGTAATTGTCACAGTGGAGTTTGAACATAAGGAATACAAAATTTATATTGGTTATGAGAAATTGGAAATTTCTTACTCTGGAATGATTATTTCAGTATTGAAGAATTTATTTCACATTCATAGTACTGTGTGAGCTATAAATTTTAAAAGGCGACAAATAGTAACTAAAAAAATAATTAACAAATTAACAAATAAAGAATAACTGAACAAAACTAATAATAAATAATAACTAAAAATAGCTAAAGAATAACTTTGTAATATAATATTATCTACCTATTTGGAAATTACAAGAATGTTAGAACTTATTTAAAATAGACTAATACAAAATTCCACCTTCCAAAGTAAATAGAGAATATTTCAAAATCCATTTAAAATAGTACTTCAATAGAAGCCGTTAGAAAATTTCGAAAATACAAAAATTTATTTAAATTGGGATAAGAGACTATTCCAGAGCCCAAGAGATACGAAGCTGTCAAAAAAATAAACAAAAAGGGCCCTTTACCCCAGTACCACACGGCGAGGAATAGTCATGAGGGAGCGGCTAGCCAGAGGTTCGCGACGGCGGCGCTAGTTCCGTCGCCTGGCGTCAGAGGCGCTAGTTCCGCCGCCTGGCGTCAGAGGCGCTTAAACGCGGCAGCCCTAACCTAAATGGGCGTGCATAACGCGGTCCCGCGGCCAGAATGCATCCATCCAAGCCCCGGAAAGCGTCCACTCCGCGGCCCGCGAGACATAATACCGTTTGATGACGTCATTAAGCCGGAGCCGGCTTATTGTTTCTCGTAAAACGTACGTGCAAACGCGCTTGTGCGCGTCCCGACCAGCGTCTTGCCCCCCACCACCGCGCCGTTTCGCCACGGCCATGGCGAACGACGTCGCTGTCGTCGGCGGCCATCGTCTCCATTTTCCACCACGGAACAATAAACCGGGCATAAACTTATAATTAAATGGCTGTAATGGCGCGTGTTTGCCACACGTGACGCGCCTCCGACGCGAACTTATTATTGCCGGACGCAGGAAATAAATCTTCGTGTCTGGGACCGTCTCGACTTCCGTCGACGACTATACAGGAACCCTAAACTCGTTCTACACACTTCCATCTTGTTTTTGAATTTGATTTTGGGATTTAGGATGAATCAGGATAGGGTATTATGCTGATATTTTTATGATTTTTGTGATGGTACTGGGGTTTGGATTATTTGGAATTTGATAGTTGTCCTTACTTTCTTAATTATGATTGGCATAATTTATTCCAATTAATGGAATTTTATGTTAAGGAATTTTTGAATTGGTAATGGTATAATTTTGAAATTTGTGTACTTCATATATTATTACAATATTGGGATTTTTTTCTTTAAATAAATAATAATTAGATGATTTTAAAATGAATTGTTTTTAGGTTAGGTTCGAACAATTTTCAATTTTATTTTTATTTTTTTCTGGCTGTAGGTTTTTCAATTTAAAATAATAGAGCAGGATTACAGTATAATAAATACGTATAGTATTTTTTGAGGTGAGATTTTTGGATTCAGTTAAAAATAGTTCCATATTTTTTTCTTTTTTATAATACATTATTTGATTTAAAAAAAAATAGCCAATTAATTGAATTAAATTAAATTAAATTAAAAAGCACAAAACTCTTCTATTTTTTAAAAAATGTTTCTTTTTTTTTTAATTGACTTTATGTTAATTATAAATTTAAAAAGGTATTATGAAGTATTATATCGAAGGTGACATAATTTTTCAATTTTTATCTCGTTCTCGGAAGCATAGTTTACGGAAAGATATGACGGATTAAAATTGTTCGAAACATTTTATACCGTATGGTTTGTCAAATTCGTAGCTGAGTCGATAAATTAAAGCAAGTTAAATTAAATTCCACTCCCGTCGCAGAATGGTAAAAAGTACGAAGTGGATAGTTTCCCGTTTAAATTCCGCTGTTTCATACGGCAAAGCAAGAGTTTCGAATAAAATTACGGTTTTTCCTTTTTCGTTGCAGACTGGCAATTAAAATCGCCGAAAGGTGCACGTTTCTTAAATTCTTTTGCGATAATAACCGTTACAATATAACGGTCGCCATTAGAAAAATGCACACTGAACTTTCCCTATTACTTTGAAATAGTCAGCAACTTCGCTAATTTTACTCTTTAAAGTCGCCGGTTTGCAACTTTCGCCAATTTTAAACTCAATCTGTTAACGGCTCACACTCTGCAAATTCACCCCTTTAAGAAACAAAATCACATCACAATTATGATTTAACTTCTCCAATTTTTCATTTCACCTTCATTTTGCAATAATATTTAATAACACATAATAACATATATTATATTAAATATTCGTTTCATTTATTACAAATTGAAATACAAATTCCACCATTTTTCTTTTTTAATTTATATTTTACACTTCTCAACTGGCCCTTTAAATTTTTCCGTGAATATAAAACGTTCTTCAGACTCAACCCTCTTGGTGAATATTAATATGTGTAGCGACATTTGCAGTTATCCAACATGGCGCGACATCTTGGCAAAAAGAACCGTCAACTCTGTTCTGCAAGCGTGATTATTATAGATAAAATTCGTACTATTCTAGAATATTAAAGCTATTCCAAATTACCGCTTTAAAACCTCCTTAAAACTCGTCGAATTAAAACTGCCATAACCTCAAAATATTCCCAGTAGTACCATTCCATAATCTCCCAGCAGACCCAAGCAAATTCGTTCAGCTTCCTATTTACTCCTTGCTTTACAATTTTTTAACTTTCCACTAGCACAAAATAGTCCACCATATTTAAATAATTTATATGCAACAATCTCTAATATAATATAATGAATAAACAAAAATCGAATTTTAAGCTAACCTTTCTAAAATTAAAACACTAATCCTCTCAATAAACGTAAAAATTTATCGTCAATCACCTGCAACGAATAAAACCCCCTAAAATATCCCCTTCCCGTAAAAAATCGAACCAGTATCTATAATTTAATCGGTCACCCAAACCTAACCTACTCTCAGTAGGAACTCTGTACGTTCTTGTCTCCTTAACACCCCTTTTCCACCCTTTTTAATTTCTCTTCCCTCGTAGCACCACCCTCTCCACTGTCCCGCTAAAAATAATTGCCGTACGTTTGCCTTATTGGTATTCCAGGGCGTTTGTTTATCTGCGCGATTCGGTCCGGCTAATGGGCCGCGGTGGCCGCGATAATCGGTAGGCTATCGCCATCTTTCGGACGCTTTCGCGGCGTCCCTCTGGCGGCCGGTCCGCGAAGCTGCCGCCAGGCGGGGTTGTGGGCGCGCCGTGGGGATTCCCCGTTCAATTTCGCCGTCTGTTTGCCGGCCGGATTCCGCCCCATTCGTCGTGGTGGCCGCGTACGTGACGCGAAAAACGAATGCCGCCCCGCGGTTTTCCGTGGCCCGTGGGTAATTCGAGAACCTCCGGACAAGACGGATCGAGGCCGCGTGAAATTGCCCGCCGTTGGCCAGAGACACGGCTTTTCCAGGGTACCAACGGAGTTTAGGGAAATCGCTGGGACGCAGCACGATGGTAACCTGGGATTGGTATTCTTGTAATCCAGCCAATAAAAATCGACTTTTTTCGGATTTTTTTCTGAGGAAACCGTGATACTTTTTGGCACGTCGCTTTCACACGTAGATTTATTTATACTTGGAGAATATTTCCAATTTTTTTTTTCTTTTTAACAAAATTATTTTCAATATTTTCGTTAGGATTATTCCACCATGACACTCATAGTGGGATAATTTGGTGGAAAAAAATCATGCGTTGGTTTTTAAGACATCGTTGTACAGGGGAGACTTTGGTCTTCAAGTATGTTGCAAAACGAATTCTGACAAAAATTTATTAAATTCCGTGGAGTCGTTTGAATTTGAAGGAAAAAGAATTTTTGGGGGAAAAACCATCATCAATTTTTCGCCTCGTGTCTGAGTGTAAAGACATCTTCGAAAAAATGAAATTCATGATTCCGAAAGTAGAGGTTTCACTCTTGAAAATAAAAGCAAGTGTAACATTCTACGATTTTTTTTCACAAAAATACAGTAAATCAAAGATCGACAATTTTACACCCCAAAATTAGTAACCTTTCTATTTATATAAACATAAAACAATTTTTTTTTTAAATTGTAAAATACGTAATATATCAGAATTGAATAATTTAACGTATTATTTAATTCGTTTTTTAGAAAAGTTTTATTTTTGGTAAAATAACGCCATGTTTTATTCATACCTGTTTACCCCTGTTCACTAAATGGGTAGCATAAGTCGACTATCATTTATTACAGTGTTTACGAGAACGAGTTAAAGTTTTATTTTTTAATCAAATACATTTAAATTAATTTGGTATTTAAATATAAGGAAATGTTAATGCTTGAATATAAATTACTATAATACTTTAGGTTACCGAGGATTAGACGTTAAGATTTGTAATTAAGATTAATTGGCCATTAAAATTCGACCATAAAACGTATTATGCCTCAAGATTGCAAATTATGTCATATTAAGATTATATTAAGATTGCATTCTGTATTAGAGTTTCATAAAAACGTGGCTCTTTATAGTATGCTGCAACACCTACAATTTTGCATAAACTTTGGATCAACTATTCTTAAAGGTGATTTAATAATTCCTGTACTCTGACACATAAATTACACGTAACCAGCATCGAAGAAAGAAATCACGATTTAAATGAAAATTCGGTATGATATAAAATATAATATTATACTAGCAACAATTACCAAATGTAAATAATTCTCAACAAAATATTGCATGACAGCAGTATAATTTGGTATATTAATATCAAAATAGAAAATTGAAAAAGTTTTACAAATTTTCAAGAAATAATTGTGGAAGAAATTAAAAATTTCGTGTATAGTTGTATACAACATACTAAATGGTTGACGCCATTTTTGTTGCAGGAGAGCGCACCTCAGAAATTGCCTGGAAAAGCTGAAGGTGTTGGTTCCGTTGGGTCCTGAAACCTCAAGGCACACCACGTTGGGTCTCTTGACCAAGGCCAAGCGTTTTATCAAGGTAAGAATAGTGCATTTCTCTTCGAACATAACCTAACTTTATCCTCTCAACCCTAAAACCACCTGTAATATATATTTAAAAAAACAAGCACATTTTTAATCATATTCCTAAATATAAAAATAACCATTTTCATAAATTAGAATTATTTTTAAAGTAACTTACAATTTTAATTATTATTATAATAATTTCCATATTAATAATTATCATATAGCAAATACATTAACAATTGTATCTAATTTTATATATCTAGTTACATTCCATATCAACTGATCTGGAATTATAGTATTAAGCTAATAAATTAGTATCACTTCCCTGATCAGTTACCCCTCCTACCCCCATCATCATATGGGATATAACCTAACCCAACAGTACGATTCATGCTTTTCCCAAGGAGTAAAAAGAATTTCAGAAATAACCATCCCAATAACACGTTTCACATGCTGCCACGATCACCTTCCAAGCAGCGCCATTTTTCCGCCGTCCTAACCACAAAATCCCGCGATGCCACGACCATGCTCGACCACCGCAGTCATCAAGCTCCCCGCGTCGCCCCCACACACTTCCACCGCGAAATCCTCGCCAATGGAACGCATTATTCCTCCCGACAAGCTTCCACCACCACCTAATCTCCGCGAAGCAAGTTCGTGCAAACAGATACACCAGAATTGCCCATAAAACTGCGCGGGAGTGGGGGGTGGCGGGCGGTTTGAATATTTCATGGGGTTCCGCGAAGCTCGCGATTCGCGAGAATCAACGAGCAACAACCCCTTACGGAAAACATCGAGCCTCTCTGGCTGCGCTATCTATGCATCTTCGCTTACACCTGCAAACGGAAGAGAGAGAGAGAGAGAGAGAGAGAGAGAGAGAGAGAGAGAGAAGGAAAAGAAGAAGAAAGGAAAAAAAGAAGGGTGAAAGGAGACGAAAAAGTGGGGTTTAGGGAGGAAAGATTTCTGGCTGGGAAACGGGTCGGGTAATTAGCAAGAAAGATGGCGGAAAAGATGGCCGAGTGTGAAAAGAATCGCGGTCGAGCACGGTCGATAAAGAAGAGGGACGGAAGAAGGAAGTCCAGGGGCGGACAAATAAAGTATTACACAGGGAGCCGAAATATGAACCCACGCTTTGTCTTCTTCTCTCCCAACCACCAATTCAATCTAACTCCATGACTCCACTTCAACAGTAAAAGTGTCAATATTAGTCATAATATCAGCTAAAAGCAGCGATAATTAAGAAATAATAGGTTTCAGTGTTACATCGATTCGTCTTTTGTCGCTTACGAGAGCCCTAACCGGGTTTTCCTGTAACTCACTAGCGCCACCACGACCCGTAACTCCAATACGTCCCATATACGTACTTCGTCGAGTTGCTTTCTAATTTTATTAATGCAATCTTATAATTTCTTGCTTGTTATACGTATCGTATCATCCTAAACATACTGATTCATACATATATACGTTTCAGTTACCGAATATATCAAATATAAGCGTTCTCTAGAAAGTATTCTATATTCTGTCTTCATTTTTAAGACGCAAAACCATGCTTTGCTTTTGCAGTGAATAAAAATCGATTTCTTTAACCCGTTACTCGAATCTCTCTCTCTGTAATTTCTCCTCTCTCTGCCGTGTTCCCGACACGCTTCATTTCCTTCTGCACTTTTTCCCTCGGCCATGTTTCTCCCTTTTTCTTCCGTCTTATTTCTCCGGTCTTTGCTTCCTCGCTAGCCCGAACTCGGGATTCGCTTCGAATTCCTCTTGTTCCTCGTTCAATATCGTTTTAGCCTTCTTCCCTTCGTTTTCGCGTCTTCAGCCGGGTGCCTGTTGGCCGATAAATCGTCGCGTCGATGAGCGATCTAGCCCTAGATCGCTGATTAGCTGAGCTCGCCTGTGGCATATAGGCTTCTCGTTGCTTTCGATCGCGAGGATTTTAATGTTTACGCGATGTTACGAGTTTCGTGATATGTCAGGTTCGTGGGGTTGGCGTGGTGGGGTTGGTTTGACTGGTGTGTGCACGGTTGCAGGTGTGTCACGGGTCGTAATCGATGGGAAGCTATCAGAATGGTCGGTTTGATGGTGATTGTGTCGGTTGATCGTGGCGTTGGACGGAGCTGATGCGAACGGTGGACATTTTATGATTCGTGTGTCTAGTTTCGTGCTTGTGCGAGATATTTCGCGTTGTTTTGCTTCTTAGAAGCTATTATTTTCGGTGATTGGAAGGGAGATAGAAGAGAGAGATGGTCGAGTTAGGATTGGATATTTTTTATCACTCACTGTGATCGATTCGACGATTTATAGCTATTCCAAGTACGTGTACAAGTATAGTGCATATAGCATTCCAAGTGCAGTAGGTATGCAGTAGGTTGCACGAGGATTAAAGTAGCCATTTTGTTTGAGTTGGAGATGTCGATTTTGGAGATGTAAACTCTGAAGATGTGTAATTATTTCGTATCAGAAGAGACACGTCCAAAACACTTTCTGAAACTTTATTATGTCTATTTTTACTGTTGGTATAGTAGAACGTGTATAGTCTCAAAAAATAATTTTCCAATTTCAAAATATAAATCAAATTCAAACCCAATTAATCCTAATAATCCTTTTAAATAAAAGGATGAGAGAGAGCAGAGTACCCGATATGATTTTTGAACAATCACAGTTACACTTAGTCAAAACTGAAACGAAAAAATTCCCAAAATTTCCAACATACCCGTATCTCCCTAAAAATTTCAAAATAACCCTAATTAATTCAAGATCAATAACCCTAATTAATCCAAATAATCCTTAAAAAAAAAAAGGACGTAAAAGAACACAGTACTCAATATGATCCTTGAACAATCGCGGTTACATTTAGTCAAACCTGAGATCAAAAACTCCCTAGATTTCCCCCATACCAGTATCTTCCCTAAATTTCAAGAAATTCTGCTATAAATAATTCTCCTCCAAAAAATAGGGAAAAAAGAACAGGTTGCCCAAGATTACCCATCGCGATCCACGAATGGGAGCAGAAATCGTCGGTTAGCCTACGCGCATAAACATTCCGCGAAGCCTGTACCGAGCACAGCGCGCGTGTATACGGGAAAGTACGGAGGCGAGCTGTGTGCATCGGCCTGGGTCACGTGACCAGATGCCAGGCGGTGGATGGACGCAAACGGCGCAATGGGAACGGGGGACAGAGTGAAATCTTGGCGCGGGTATCTAATGCACGGCCGCGGTAATGTACAGGTACCTGCAGCGGCACGGATTGATGTATACCGAGAATCTCCCACGCAGGACTCCGCATGCATGGGCGAACGGTGGATACGCGCCGCTGAGCGCCGTTCTCTGTGTAAACCGTGGCCTGCAGAGAGGAACGGAGAGGCACGAGAGGTATAGGCTACGTGGACAAACACGCGTGCATAGTCATAGGCGGTGCACGCACGCACGCCACGGTGCACGGCATTGTGTTGGCCAGCCTGTAATTTACTAACTACGCGGCCATTGTCCGTCGCCACTCTCTGCTCGCCGCGACACCTTGGGTCGCCTTCTCCGCTTGACCTGGCCAACGCGGTTCCTCGGGCTCACGTGGCGCCCTCGTCGACCTCGTTGTCTTCGTCCCCTTTCGTTTCTTCGTTGTTCGTCGGTTGGATAAACTGGTTTGTTTGCCGCAGCACTGTTTGGAGATACCTTTTTTAGCGTGTTTCTGGCTGTTTGAGGTTAGTGTTCGTGAATGTTGAGTTTGAGGTTAGATTATAGTGTAAGTCGGTATAGTCTGATGGATTAATGTAGAATGCTGGTATCATAACAGGTATTATATTTCTGGAAGGAATATAATGGTGGTCTTTCTGAGGGTGTTTATGAATGTTGAGTTTGAGGTTATGTCGAGTGAGTTGGGAAAGGTTATGTGGTATAGTTGGGTAGATGATCTGGTGGATTAATGTAGAATGGTGGTATCATAACAGGTATTATATTTCTTGAAGGAATATAATGGTGGTGTTTGTGAATGTTGAGTTTGAGGTTATGTCGAGTGAGTTGAGAAAGGTTATGTAGTATAGTTGGGTAAAAGATCTGGTCTATTAATTTAAAATGGTAGTACTATAACACGTATTATATTTCTAGAATGAATATAATGGTGTTCTTTTTAAGGGTGTTTGTGAATGTTGAGTTTGAGGTTATGTTGAGTGAGTCGAGAAAGGTTATGTACAGTTGGATAGAGGATCTGGTGAATTAATGTAGAATGGTAGTATAATACTGGATAATAATACTGGATGTTATATTTCTGGATGTATGATTAGTATTTTTTTTTTTTTCTTTTTGAAGTGTTTGAGGTTAGTATTTGTGAATGTTGAGTTTGAGGTTATATCCATAACTGAGGTATCATGACTGATATACAGAGTGGACTATTTAACGTCACCTCGGTTATTTCTAATTATTTTGCAATTGGAGACGAATAAAAAATTAATTCCACGTAAATGATATCTGGTTTTTGTTAAATTAATTGTATTACTACACACAGAAAGAAATCGACTTATTTATAATGAAAATAATGAAAGTAGTCACGTTAAGTGGTCCACCCTGTTCATTTTAAGACAAAAAGAGAAAGCAGAATGGTAAAATATAGTTTTCTTAGTCCTGAGAAGATACTAGGTTAAAAACTCTCATCTCGTTGTAGTTCCTGCTACCTCAGCGCCACCTGTCCGTCGTAATGGATAACTAAAATCCATGAATTAATAGAGACAACACCCAACAATAGGAATTAAAGGCAATTATATACGATTAACGGCATCAATAAATTTATGTTTCTTCAAAATTATGTAATCTTGGTTAATTTGCTGAAAAGTGAGGTTAGGAATAGCATCTTGTAACGATCATGGTAGTCGGTGCAACCGATTGGAAAGCCGAGGAAAAATTCTAATTAGAGATACGAATAGATGCCAGGAATTAAGATTGAGTGTAGGATTTTCTGATAAAGTGTGTTGCAATTACTCTTCGCGCCTTCGTTTCCACGTTTCTTGGGAATAAATTAATCAAGAA